TAATAAAAAATAAAGGTGATGTTACCCAATGGTAATCTTTAAATTGTTGCTTTGTTAACTTCGCGCATTTATTCGCACATTATTTGTTCAGATGTTCTATTAGTTATAGCTCTAAGTGATTTCAAATATGTATTTTTTACGACTAGAGTGTATCTAAAATGTTTTTGAGAGAATACATTGTTTTATAAGTAAATAGTTTCGTCATGTTTAGTTTATAAAGGCATATTTTGGTACAAATTTTGAAGTGAGCCAACTGAAGTGGGATGGGGCTCGTATGTTACCTTATGCCGAAGAAGAAATGTCACTGTTGTTCAGATATCAACAAGATAACGGCCCGAAACATTCATTCCATTCAGTTAAAAAAATGATTTTTAAAGAAAAGCGTTGATTTACTGGAATGACCTTCGCAATCCGCCGACCTCAATCCAATTGAGAACCTTTGGGAGCACTAAGAGCGGAAAATTCGACAAAGAATTATTCATAGTGAGAATGATCTATGGGCAAGATGAGTGGCGGAAGATTCCAGTTGATGTGTGTCGAAATCTTGTTGATTCCATGCCAAGAAGAGGCAGGAAAGTCATTAAAGCAAAGGGATTTTCAACAAAATACTGTACATTGCTTGTTGAATTTGTATGTTTAATTTTGTTTTTGTTCATAAAAATATTCTTGTCATACTTTTGTCCAAGGGTTTTCTTTATTTACCATATATATGAGACTTGGTTTTATTTTGTATTTACATTTATTTCTAAAATGTTAGTAGTGGATGTTTATTTTTTAGTATGTAATCAATTCCTCATTAACAAATATTAAGAGTATAACCAGAAAACAAACCTTTCCATACTTTTGTCCATGACTGTATATTTCGTCATTAAAATACCTCCTCGTAGGAAGTAAAAATCTACACAATTTTTCACCACAGTTCACGACTCTAGTACGTGACAACGACTAGAGCTATCATTCAAAGAAAATCAAAATACCCCAAATCGTACTTTGCCCGTTCTTTCTAGCGACGCCGACATTTTTGCGATTTGTTTTGCATAAAGTATTTATGGTCTACAATCAGAGCGATCCAATCACTATAGTTGCTAATGATTATGACTATATTTCAAGTTAACAAAGGATTTGCAAGATTTTCATTGACATTTGGTAGAAACAAACTATCGCAACACTACCACTAGTCCAAGTTAACAGAAGAAGTAACGGGTGTTCCAAAATCAACGCAAGTTTTGAATTAAATAGAAAGCACAGTCTCAAGTCTTTAGATAGTTATTTTTTTTTGTTGAACCATGAAGTTATGTATTTTTCATGACCTTTCTGCATGATGGTGGCTGGACTTAGTTGACGCACCGTTTAATTTCCTCTTGTAATGGTGGTTGTGGGCTTGTTGACATAGACCTTTGACTTGAAATAACCCCATGAGAAGAAATCTAATGGTGTTAAATCAAACGATCTAGGGGGGCAATTCTGATCACCGAAAATACACGACCAGGAAATGTCTTATGCAGTATTTGAAATATTTCACTGGCTGTATGGCATGTGGCACCGTCAACCACATATTGGACACATCCATACCACTGTATCTTGTCGCGATATCGAGCACCACGAACAGTTACTGCTTCACCATCCTCATTTTTAAAAAAGTATGATCCAGCCCAAAATTTGCAGCAAACAGTGACACGTTGTGGATGCATTTGTTTTCCACAATTACACGTCGGTTCTCAGGCAATTTTGGCGATTAACAAAGCCATAAAGGTGAAAATGTGCTTCATCACTTAGGATAATTTTGCAAGAAAAATCAGCATCCACTTGTTGATGTTTAATAATCTATTCCATGAACTCTCTTCGTCATGGGCATTAGGCTTCAGTTGTTCTGTTGATTGAATTTTGTATGCATGGAGACACAGATCTTTTGTGATTATACGCTGTATAGAGCTTCCTGAAAATTGCAATGCTTGTCCATGACGCAGAGACGATGTTCCTGGGTTTACACCAACACTCTCACGCACTGCGTCGACATGGACATTTGAACGGCTTGTTTTTGTAGGACGGTGTGTTTAGCGTCTCCAACTCATCTCCCTGATTTTTTTTAATTAATCTTCGCAGCTGACGAGGCTAAAACACTATTCCGGCCATATTTCGTATAAAATTTTCGAACTGGGGACGCTAAATTTTCATTATTTTTGAAATATTGTTTTATAATGAAAATACGTTGTTGTATCGTATAACGCTCCATTTTTACTGATCCTAACCTCTCAGGCGTCAATTTATTCTTTCAATGCTGCCTACAATTTACTGCAAACACTGCGGCAAATTCAAATCTTGCGTTAATTATGGGACACCCTTTATTATGGTAACGGTGTATTGTGTTACTTATAGTTCAGTGCATCATATCGATAAAATGAAAATAGTTAATGTACATATGTACAAAAAAATGAAGCTACTCACGTCTCGGATATCTCTTCCTCCAAATCTATGGCTGGATCCGCCCGCAGAGGATCCTCCTCGTCCCAGCCAATCGGGAACTTCTTGACCAGCTTGTTTCAAAATTCTTGCAAGACCTCCGGCTATTCTGGCGTCTGTATCGGGGTCGTAAAAGCTTGTTGCTTTTCCTCTGTTACCTGTATGTAGTTTTGATTCGATAAGATCACTAAACAATTACTGAACAAAATACACTCTTTTTCAATATCTTATACAGGATGACCGCAAAGTTGAGGTTTTCCTCTACACGACGTGTAGATCTTGAGGAAATAAATAAGCTGATTTTCTCAGTAGCATATACACCAATGGCTTAAGAGAACCGAGATATCGAGCTCCGCAAACTCCGAAGCCGGTCCTGTCCTATCCCTCGATCACGTCCACAGTGCCTGCACCAGCGTACACTTATATGACGTACGACTACGATCTAAATACTGATTTTACGACCGATCCGTACTTGGAACTTCAATTCAACTGAACAGTGAGTACTTTTTCATTTATTTTTTTACTTGTCCGCTTACGTTTCACCAGACATTAGCATTGTTATATCAAGCGTAGTTGTGCCTTAAAAGGAAGGATCTTTGCGGACACCCTGTATAATCTGATTTACTTTGGCACTAGATCATTTACGTTGTGTAGTGCATGTTCTCGCTAAACCTGAGGCATCACTACAGGTGGACGGATTACCGGCAAGAGGTAAGCTAGATGCCAAAATAATTCCAAGGTGTTTTGAGAGGAAATGGACAGTGAAACGTTAGTTTTATCGACCGATAACTAGACCGGTTTTCATGAGTCTCCATTACGTCAACCGTAACAGCAAATAACAGCTGATTATGTAGGAATATTTCAAACTTTTCCATATCGACAAGTGACAGACAATTGTGGCGTATCCGACAACGCCAGGTAGGCAGAGTCGTATTTTGTTGTGGTTTTTTTGTTCCATGTGGATTCATATTGTACTTCTAACAATGCTTTTCTTTAGAAAAGCTCCTGCTAATGATCATGAGTACCTTGCAAGTCAGGTAGGAAAAAAGACAAACAGGTGTGTTAAATTCACTTTTTACGGATATACATGGTGTTATAAACACGCCAAATATTGAATATCATATCGACCACTGCAACGAAGACTATAGTAACTCAAAAATCCTTGCTTTTGACTTACTGTATGGTATCGATAGACTTTATCAGGTTCTCTTTGGTGGAAGAATATGGTATCTCAGTCAAGCAACTATAGGCAACCAATAAATCTGCTACTTCATATAGTAAGTATAATAGTGGCGGTTGCTCTCGCGAAAACTACATCAAATTGAGTTACTTTAGTCTTCGATGCAAAAAAATTCAGGCAAGTTTGGTTCATAAATACTGAAGAACTCTTTTAACACAACAAAAAGGTTCAAACATAGCATCCTCTTCTGCACGCTATGCATTGGGATCTGGGGCATCACAGTCTGTTTCTCTCATGCCTGTGAATTAAAACAGTTTAACAGAGAATTCAACTACTACAGTCTTCGGCTTTGCTAAGACGACACTCGCGTGTTTCCTTTTCATTCTTTCATCTCCAAGTCTGGACCTGATACAGACCTACTGCCTTGGCCAGAAGTATTGAGCACCCCGAAAATATTTCACGTACGCTATAATGATAGACGAAAAGAAAAACTAATGGTTATACAAATATTTGTAGGTATCAAAACCGGTTTGTAAATAATTTCTTATCTCCTTACTTTCGTTAAAACACGTAGTTTTTTGGAGACTAGTCAGTTTTACCTTTTTAGTGCGTGTTCATCAGTTTGATGCTATCGCTCGTTGTGAACAGTCGAGTGATTTAGTGCAATATTGATGATTTTATTTCGAGAATCTGAGTTCAACTCTTGTAATATGGCAAAAACGAATGAACTGAGCATTGAAAAACGTGCGAAAATACAGGTTCTCCATGAACAAGGGAAGTCCCAAGTAGACATTGCAAAAACAGTGAAGTGCTCGCGTCGATGTGTACAATACACTATCCAGCGATTCTCTCAGACCAGTTCACATAAAGATAGGCCTAGATCTGGCCGCAAACGGATCACTACAGATCGCGAAGACCGAATATTGACGAGAGAATCTTTGAAAAATCGGAAAAAAACTTCTTTGGTCCTCGCTGCCGAACTATCAGAGCAAATTAATAGACCGATTTCTACTCGAACTGTTCGCCGAAGGCTTCAAGAAGGTGGTCTAAATGGCCGCAAAGCTAGAAAGAAGCCATGGCTCTCAGACAAAAACAAAAAGGCCTCTCAGACAAAAACAAAAAGGCTCGATATAAATGGGCTTTAAAATACAAAAGCTTCACTGAAGAGGATTGGTCAAATATTGTATGGTCAGACGAATCAAACTTTGAGGTACGTTGGTTAATTTGATGCAGTAACGAGGTGTAACAATAATTTTTGAAACAAAATGACAAGAAGAAAATATTCAACTAAGCAACTACTTAATGACATTTCTTCATTTTTCAGATTTTTGGTACACCTGGTGTGACATTTGTTCGTCGTCGAGTAGGAGAAGAATTCAATCAGGAGTGTGTGGTGCCTACTTTGAAACATGGTGGCGGTAGCGTAATGGTCTGGGGCTGCATGAGTGCTTCAGGAGTGGGAGAAATGTTCGTGTGTGAGGGTCGCATGGATGCCACAAAGTACATAAACGTACTCGAAAATGCTCTTTTGCCGTCGTTTACTGCATTTTATGGCGATACCAACATGAACGGCGTCAAATTTCAGCAGGACAATGCGCCTTGCCATAAAGCTGCACGGACAATGGCTTGGTTCAGAGAAAACTGCATCGAGCTTCTGGATTGGCCAGCCCAGTCACCAGACTTGAACCCGATTGAACATTTGTGGGGCTTATTGAAGCGCAAGATCAGGCGTCATACATTCAAGAATAAAGAAGACCTGAAGCGCCGTCTACGTGAGGAATGGAACGCTTTAACTTACGAAGAATGTAATAAACTTGTACGATCTTTACCTAAAAGAATTTCTGCCGTGATTAAGGCGAAGGGTGGTACCACAAAATATTGATTTTCTTTCAATACTAAGCCATATAAAGCTAGAAAAAATTGTGTTAATTTCTCCCAACTTAATGGTCCCCTAGAATTTAAAGATATCGAGCGTGCTCAATACTTTTGGCCAAGGCTGTATATTACAGACCTATATCGTACTGATTAGGGCTTAAGAGCCATGTCTGCGGCTGGTCGTGTCTCCTAAATAAAAGGTACAGAAGTTGAGAAGGACGATAGTGGAGAACACGGTGATGAATATAATTTGAGTGACTCGGAGTCGCATTAAAGAGCAAGTGTCCGTTTTTCTTTAATTGATCCAACGAAAACTATAGTAAGTCCCCAAACTTTATTAAAAAAAATTGTCATTTTCGCTAGCTTTGTATTGTAATACCATTCTACCTTCTATATACAAGAATTACTGCAATGTGCAACATATTTTTGATGAGATCGTCATTTTTCTGACAACAAAATTCATCAGAAAATCTTCTAATGCCCGTATCTCAGTTCAACCAAAACTGAGTTACAATAGTCTTCCTTGCAGGGGTCGATATGAGCCATTGAAAGCCAGGATGGTCCAAGTCACAAAAAGACGTTTCCGAGATTTAAGGCTTTAAAGTTTAGATGCGGCTGATAAATGTAGAGTAATAAAAATGCAGTAAGAAATCAAAATACCCTTAAAGGTAGATTCAATTTAAGTATCTTATCATAAAATACATGAACATTTTGTGTTTATGTGTTTTTTTTTTATATGTTTAAGCTTTAGCCCACTCTGCCTTAAAACGGTTCTTACCTTTGGTTTCATACTTGTATAACGATTATAGTAAAGTAGAGTATTAAAGTAGAGTTACACAACATTATATGAATAGATAATTTTATTACAAAACGACAGAAATCAATCTCCATACATTAAAAAAATAATGTATATTTTCTACACATAAACTGTACTCTACTGACGCGACCTTATGGAATTTCTGGAAATTCTCGAGTCTGTTCGCCTTCTCCTTCTTCTTATTCAGTAAGAAGCAGTGGTCCGGTATCTGGCAAAGTTGCATCCGTCTTCAGATTCTTGAAAAAACTGTGATGAACTGGTGGTATGAATTGGAGAAGCTCTTCCATGTTTTTCTTCTTTTTGTCGTTGACAGGAAGAGGGGATTCATACAAAGGAGGTAGGTTTATATTTTTGAAGTTTTTGGGTGCGCCTTTTCGATTTGGTAGTAAATTTATAAAATCATATGGAAATTCTTCATTCAAAGTTTCTTTATAAAAAATTCTGTAAGGTTCTTTTTTCTCAAAGTGTAGCCACTGAATCTGGAGCCATGATACAGTGGCATTAGTACCATTTTTCTTTCATCTTGTTACAGCTTTCTCTAATGTTGTTGATGAGAAAAAATCAGACCGTTCCATCTCACAGACGTAAAAGGGTTTCCTGGGTCTGCATGTTCTTATTGTTATACCAGTCTTCTGGCACGTACTTGATGCTATTTTTTGCCCGCTTGACACTACTATTGAAAATCAGAGTGGGTTAAGTCACACTTGTCCCATGCTGCCTCATAACGGTTACAGCTTTCCATTGACATATAAAAACAGACTGGTGCCATATGTGTACAAAACGAAAAGATACATTTTTCAAAACTCTCCCAGACAAAGATTCATCCATCCAGAACAGTATACACATAGAACCTTGATATCTGAAAATTTGGACTTGGACCATCCTGGCTTTCAATGGCTCATATATCTCAGACACTATTACTACGATTTTGATGATATTTTTCAAAATATCTGTTACCTAGGAGCAACGTAAATCTAGTCAATGGTTGAAAAATCCAAGAACGAACTTGATTTTTTCAACTGGTTGACTATGTACGAAAAAGTCAATGAGTAATCCTTATTATTTAGCAAGATCGATTTTTGTCTATTTGGCTTTTTTGAGTAAAATATTTTTTATTTACTCAAATATTTCTATCAGTTTATGTGACATTAAACTTTGTTAACTTGTTTTTATCAGCATTTTACAAAATAATGTTTAGATTTAAACGAAATATTTTTAGTGAACTCAAAATATCTGGGTAGGATTCAGAAATCTAAAGAAACTTAAGACTGAAGTCTCCACTATTAACATTCATGGCATTGATAAAAAAGATATACTGCATTTTCTGAATTACATCTTCCAGGACATCAAAAGGCGCGTTATGTTTATAAACAACTATTCCACCACCTAAAATTCTGTGTGGGGCCTATTAATAACCTCAGCTTGACCCAGAACGTCACTACAAATAACCACTGAACAGGCCCATTAATCAACTCGCATTGAGATGCCTCGAAACAAGACAACAGTAGATCAAAACAAAAGACTCACCTACTCTACCAGTTCTTCCAATACGATGAACATACTCGTCGATAGCATTCGGTAGATCGTAATTGATCACATGTTGGATCCCCGGGATGTCCAAGCCCCTGGCAGCTACGCCAGTGGCCACCAAGATGTTACGGATGCCCTTCTTAAAGTCCCAGATCGCCTGCTCCCTTTCCCTTTGCAACCGATCACCGTGAATGCTCGTCGTCTCGATGTCATTCTCGCTGAGCAGCGTGGCCAAAAAGTCCGCGTTTCTCTTCGTCTCCACGAATACTACTGTTTTTTCGTTACCGCTATCTGTAAAATGGTAAAGGACATAAGGTGGGTGGACATTGGAAGTCCACGTTACGAGTTATTATCCTTTATTTACCGGATAAATAAAACAAATGAATTATTAAGTAACACTTTGTACTATTAGGTAGCTTATAAAACAATCTTTTATTTTACCGAACGGTTCACAGTGAGACACTAACCTTTGCAAAGTATACAATATATAGTAAAAAGAGAAACAGCTGTGACAAATTCTCATAGTTGACGCTAAGGTATCTGGTTTTATCTATGATAATATTTTAGACCAGAGTTCCCCAAACTTTTTTGTTTCGTAGACCCCTTGCCATGTTTTTCCGTGTTGGGTAGACCCCCTACTTACCTGATATTGATTTCCTGTAAATTTCTAACTGTAGTGAAGTTTAGTGTTAAAAACTTAAAGTAAAAACACATGTTAATTTATACATTTATTAATTGAATTTAAATTAAAGCTACTCAAAATAAAATTTTGTATCTGTTATGTAAAATATACGTAACATTAAATAAACAGGTGTCTGACCAATAAGTGCCCGCAGTGGGAATAAGTGCCCGCATTGAAAAAAAAAAAAAATAAGAGGGATGAAATAAAAAAAAAAGTGAAAAATAATAAAAAAAAAGTTTTTTACTTAAAATAGTACAATAAGCGAGTTCGTTTATTAATTATAACATAAACGTATGTTCTACAATAATTTCACTGTTAGTTTGATTAAATTCTGCTTCTTATACGTTTAAGTTATCTAAAAATAGGCAAAAAATTAACGAATTTTAGTATGTGTGGGCACTTATTCCCAATGCGGGCATTTATTGGTCAGACACCAATAAACATAAAATAAACTATAAATAAAATAACATAAGCAATAAGTCAATATTTTTAGTGAGAAGGATGAACCTGATGCTTTAATAATAAATTATCAACATTTGGCGTCATTTGTGTAAGGGTTAATCTTAAATCTCCTCGGCTAATGATGTCCAGTCTGTTTCTTTTTTTCGTTAGGAGATTGGTAACAGCGCTGAACCCCCTTTCCACTAGGTATGACGATGGAAATTTCCTCGCTATATTCCATAATACGGGATAATTAACGGGTATCTTGTTTTGCAGCCAGAATTGCTGATATCCGTTTTTAAACTGAACCTTAAGTTCTTCGTTTGTACTTAGTTCAGTCAGTTCCTCTTGTATTATGATATTCGTTTCTTCTATGTCACCATATCGATTAATTATCCACGGTGGTATTACCATAGTCAAAATATCCTCAAACGTAGATTCAAAATCTGAATAGAGGGCGTTTAAATGTTGAACGTAAGTTGAAACGTCGTCTTCCTGGCAGCTTGTCTGTGACAAATTGGGGAACTGAGAAAATTCGCCCCGTCCAATATGTTGCTTCATTAGTTTAACTCAGGCAAGAAACGCTGATAAGATGGACTTTGTTTTAATCAAATTTAAACTGTCGCCTTGTAATTGCAAATTAACCATATTAAATTTTGTAAACAAATCTGTTAAATAGGCGATATCTGTTTTCCTCTTCATTAAATTTTCTTTTAAAATTTTATCTTTAGTATCCAGAAATTCTAAAATAGTCTCAAAAAGTGCAAAAAATCTTGTCAAACATAAGCCTTTCGACAGCCAGCGTACTTCAGTGTGAAGGAGTAATTGATGAAAGTGTTCGTCATTTTCTTCACACAACTGCGCAAATAACCGAGTATTCAACGCGTTGCTTCGGATTCGGTTTATTGCATCAATGACTAAATGAAGTGATTCATGCAATCTAACACTCAAATTTTTAGCAACTAAATGTTGTCGATGGATGACGCAATGTATTGCTAACACCCCTGACACATTTTGTTTTAAATAGCTTATAAATCCACGATAACGTCCAACCATGGCAGGTGCTCCATCTGTAGCTACTGATATTATATTTGATAAAGAAATTGCTTTTTCAATGAAGTAATCCTTCAAAACATGAAATATTGATTCACCTTTAGTGTCGGTTATCAAAGTTCTTGCGAAGAGCAGTTCTTCGTAGATTTCTTGATTCATAATAAAACGAACATATGCCAATAATAATGCTGCCTTATCAGGTAAAGTTGACTCGTCCAGTTGTATAGAGAAATGGGCCGTGTGCAAATAATTACATAAGAAGCTTTCAATATCAGAACTCATTTCATCAATACGTCTTTCAACAGTATTGTTGCTTAAGGGAATTCTTTTAATGATCAGATGTAGGTTTGTGTAAAACAGTTTTTAAAACCTGTTCAACGGCTGGCAAAATTAACTTCTCTCCGATAGCATGCGGTTTTCCGGATTTTGCTATAAGTAACGAGATATTGTAAGACGCCCGCAAACCATCATCATTTCTTTGTGACGTCGAAGCGAACATTCTGTCCAGTGTAGGTCTCTTCTGAAATTTATCTTCGAGTGTTTGAAAGTATTTCAAATCTTTCTCTGTTTTATCAGGGTGGCATCTTCTGAGATGATCTTGCAGTTTAG